TGCTATTTAATGCTATTTAATGCTATTTAATGCTATTTAAACAGAAAGTTTCCTCATATAGATATGAAAGCACATTTTAAATAGACTACAGTATTAATAATAAAATCTAATGTCAAAATCTTGGTGACCAGGCTGATCCCTAGGGAAGGGTCAAATGTGTCATAAGTCATGAATCCCTGCATGCCTGCAAGAGATCTAAGTCCAGCCCACTTTGAATGCCTTTCTTATCTCATTTCTCTTGACTGTTAGTTGATCAGATTCTTGTAGAGAGCTTAAGCATGCAATAAATCTTTATACTCATTTGAACTCCTGAATCTTCTGATTCCCCAGGCTCTTGATAAACCTATTGTAACGTATTTTAAAAGATGAGTATGAAGTTTGACAAGTTATATAACAGACCAACTTCAAATACTAAATGAATAATCTATAAAACCTATTTTAAAAATCCCTGTAATTACTCTTATTTTAGGACTTTCTTTTTTTTAATAAAAAAGCTCTCTAATTTAACAGCATTATATTATTTTCCCTTATTAGAGAATGAGAGAGAATAATTTAATGTTAACTGATTAAATTTAGTAAGTCTATCAATATGTGCAAAAAGTGATTGATGAGGATAGAGATGGATATTTTCCTTTTTTAATATAACTCCAAATTATTTTTGGAGCTTTTGAGATTTGTCTTTCGATTTGTTAGAGGTAAAGTTACCACAGCATCAAATGCTCGGCTTTCTGTCATCACTTTCACTTTCCTATCGTCACTCTGCAGCTGCTGAGTGATTCCCGTTGTTAAAAAAGAGTTTGAAAATCACATGTTTTTCATCGTTAACTGCTAAGAAACCAATGCATAGACTGATAAATCAGGTTTTTTCTCCCCTCTTTTTAATTAGGTATTGTAAATCCCCAGTGGAGCAGACAGAATGCATCAAAGATGACTGATGAGATGGAATTTGAAATTGGGGTGAGGATGTATTCTCTGTCTATTTTTGGACTACAGCATACATTTTTCCCCAGCTGGTCTAGCTAATTGTCAGAGATGAGGAAAGCTATATTGTACTTATGCAATCTCTAGGGACAGAAGATTGGTGAATACTAGCTAAGTAATCCTCAATGTCTTTTGCAGATTTTAGACTACAATTTCCATGATTGAACGTTATGGGATTTGCAGTCCAGTTCAGTGGTGGGATTCAAAATTTTTTTACTACTGGATCTGTGGGCATGGCATGACGTGGTGGGTGTGGCTTGGTGGATGTGGCAGGGGAAGGATNTATAGATGATCACAAGAAGGATTTCATTGCATTCATGTCAGAAACACTGAGGCTTTTCAGGGGTTTAAAAAATTAGACAATGACATCACTATTGCCCAGGGGATACCAGTCAGAGTGAAGAACAGGAGCTCACCCTATCCCAGGGCAACACTCGTGTCTCAAACTTGTTGCTTGTCCACCAAGCATCCGAATCATATGAACCACCATGCACCTATCCCAAGCAGGATGGAACAAGTTATATACTGCCTCCTGGAGGTCTATAAATTTACTAAACCAATGAAAGGTTGCTTCGGAGAATGTGAAATTATTATTTTTGGTATAAAAAACAGGCTAATAAATACAACATTGTAATATATATCCAGACATCCCTGGATAAGAAACCCAATCGGGCTTTTGAGCGCATGCGCTAAAATAAATCCTCCAAAAAAATAAGCCCTCCTTAACAATATTGCAACACAGCAGCAGCCATGAGGTGACCACACTTATAGCCTCCTGCACTTCAAAAATAATAAGACCTCCCTGAAAATAAGGCCAAGTGCTCATTTTGGGGGTTAAAAGAAAATAAGACCCTGTAAAAATATATTCACTGTGTTTCCCCAAAAATAAGAGCCTGTCTTATTTTCGGGGAAACATAGTAAATATACTTTTATAACAGGAAAACAATTCAAGATGAATAGTTTATTACATGTTTTAAAATAAACATCAGATAAATATCTTACCTTTAGTGTTGAAGAGTTCTCAAAAGTTGGTCAAGGAATACAAACTGGATGCCCATAATTTCATGCCGCACAGCTTCCCAGGCACAAGAACTGTATTCTTCATCCTTTAGGAACCTGTCTAGTCTTAAAAAGTACTTCCTCAGTTTGAGTTTTGTACGGACATCTTTAAATGTTGCTTTCTTTCCAGTCTCTGCAACTGAGCACTTCTCCCACTGCACAAGCTGCTGGTCCAGAGATATTTGAAAATGTTCAGTGATTGTCATGTTCCATTCAGCTTTGGTAAAGTTTTGTGAAAATATTCTGTTAATCTGTTCCAGCATCAGACCAACGGTTGCTCTTGCATCCTCTTTGATGGACCCAGTATCATTGCCTATTGGGAAGGCAAAGTCTTGAATTTGATTGAAGCATTGCCAGGGAATCATTTTTGGTCCCATTGACTCCAAAAGCTTTATGGTGTTCATAGTTTCATCTTTTTGGCATTTCACAATATGGTTACAGTTGAGACTTCTGATTCCAGAGGAAAGTAAAAGCAAGAGGACAATGTACTGGAAGCAACCTGAGATCATGGTGATGCCTTTTCAGTGACCCGTATGGAAAGCCAAGACCCTGGACCTTCTTCAAGGATTCTTTGAGATGTTTGAGTCTGGGTACCATTTTCCTGAGTTTATTTATTAGAGCTGCAGAAAACTTCCCCAGTCCTAGCATTTTTCATTTTCATTTTCATTTTCAATGATTTAGCTTGGTAATTTTTGAATTACCCTCTTCCCCTTCATGGTAGATTGAAATATAGACTTTCAGTTTGAGCTATCTAGGTGGAACTACAACCACCATCATCCCCATCTTCCATTAAATATAATAAATAAATTGATTTTATTATAAATATAATAAAATCAATCAATCAAATCAATTACCAAAAAAAGTAAAAATAAGAGTGGATTGTTTTGCACAACAGTAATCAAAGTCATTCATATGGTGACCTGTGCCTCATACCAGCCTTAATGGGTATTTGATTTATCAAGAGAAGTTAATATTTTGTAGTTGAGGGTTGAATTGTGGGTTTTTTGGTGCTCTTTGACTTTGATTGTTTTCTTGCAGACGTTTCATTTCCCAGCTAGGTAACATCATTAGTGTTAGAAGGGAATGGTTTTTTCCCCCTATGTTTATATACAAATAGCTTGCCTTGCCAGTGTTGGTGGGAGAGAGGACATGAATGAATGAATGAATGAATGAATGAATGAAGGAAGGAAGGAAGGAAGGAAGGAAGGAAGGAAGGAAGGAAGGAAGGAGGAAGGGTTGCTATTTAATGCTATTTAATGCTATTTAATGCTATTTAAACAGAAAGTTTCCTCATATAGATATGAAAGCACATTTTAAATAGACTACAGTATTAATAATAAAATCTAATGTCAAAATCTTGGTGACCAGGCTGATCCCTAGGGAAGGGTCAAATG